TATGAGAAAAATTCTGCTACCTGGGAACATCAGAACTGCAGGAAGGGCTGAGGGTTGGACTTTCAGCAGCAGGAGGGCATTAGAAACCAGATGATAAAAGAGGCCTACTTTTAGGTGGTCCATGTATGTCTGAGTCAAACCACAGTTCCCCCAGATAATCATTCTTCTAATCCTAGGTTCTCACCGGTATAGACTAATAGTACTCCCAATTCTGAAATTCATTCATATAAAAGCATAAATAAAGAATACTAGGCTATCCATTCCAGTATTCTTGGGCTTCCCTTGTGGCTCAGCTGGTAAAGAATCTGCCTGCCATGCGGGAGACCTGGGTTTGATCCCTGGGTTGGGAAGATCCCCTGGAGAAGGCAAAAGCTACCCATTCCAGTATTCTCGCCTGGAGAATTCCATGGACTATATATAGTCCATGGGGTCACAAAGAGTCGGACATGACTGAGCAACTTTCACTTTCACTTCAAAGCACAAGTGATTGATAGAAGATAGGATGTAAAAACAGAGTTCACATTTTGTGAAGAAATAAAACGAGTTTTAGTCTAGAAAAATAGGATATCACACTCACCAAGTTAGGCCTAAGACTTTTCAGTTTTACTCAAAACAAATGTGTCAGATAACAGGGATAGTCATCAATAAAGATTATAGTATCTTGAATATGAAAAAACTTTCCAAAGAGACAATTCTATAGAAGAAACCAATAAGGGAAAAGAAAACACACAGATAATTTGACCCTAGTGCCTCAGTTTTATTAATCAACCAAAATTTTAAGAACTCAAACTATCTGAACTGACATTAAGCCCATACATTTTAAGAAAACAAAATGTTTTCAGTCATTAAATATTATGAGCCAGCCCCTGAAATTGAGTGGAAAAGGAAAATAATGCTACACACACACACACACACACATATACGAGTTCTAATGTCTGATAATGGTATTTCCCTACTTACTAGACTTAGTCAGATTCATTCAAAAATAGAGATTTAATTAAAATGAGTTCATATTCAATGGCTACTTGACCTGCTCTGACCGAGGGAAGAAGGTACGGCATATCTGTAGAATGGAAAGTAGTTTGATAAATGAACCACAGTGTCTATGGAGAGAAGGTAGGACGTGAGGCTGTACAGTAAACAAGGGGAAAATAAAATATGATTTGAATGACATCCTAAGACACTGGAATTCCAGTCAGTCCATGATGGAGTACTGTGGAAACACAGACTTTTGGTTAGTTCTTGAAGTGGGAATGTGAAGAATGTAACTGAGGTGGCCGTTGTACTAAAAATGGGATACCTAGGTTAGACAATTGCTGCAATTTTCTAGAGGAGAGATGATGCGTGTTACAGCTAGAATATGGGAGATGAAGACAAAGAGCAAAAAGTTCGTGATGTATATGAAAGAAAAAATGAGAAGAATTTGGAGATTGGTTATATTTGCAAGTGATACCAGTGCTGGGGCTTGGGAGTTAGCTGGAATAGAGGGGAAAGAAAAGGTTTATCATAGGCAGATGATGCATTTAGATGGGATTGTTTTTTTATCCGAGGTGCTTTTGGAAAATCTATGTAGAAGCAGTTATTAGGAAGTTGGAAATATGAGACTAGGAATTCAGTAGAGAATTCTAAAATGGTAATTTAGCTTTGGAAGTTATTTACAGGGTTATGGTGCACCCCATATATGCAAATAGCATTTCCAATCAAGAAAGCCCAGATTCAGCAATCAAAGGTCCATAAGAAACCAGGTATGAAATGTTACAAAGTAATGACCAGATGGTCTCTTATTAGAGAATCCAGACCTCATCGAATGGCCTTAAAATCAGAGACAAAGGGTCTTTTCTAATTATGATTTTTGACAAGAATAAAAATGGAAGGGATCCTAGGGAAGAATTTCATTTAAGGCCAAAATATAAGGCCATGGAAAGGAGTCCACAAAGAGTGCGCATAGAACTTGGAGAGTCAAGTGCTGAAACTAAAGGAACAGACAGACAGTGGTGAGAAAGCAGCTGTTTCAGCCATAATTACTTCAAGCAGCTTTAATCACTTATTTTTAGTTTCTATGATTTCCAATAACATACTACCCAAACAGACATGTACCGAATTTGACTAAAACATTTAAGTATTCCTATGTTATCATACATATAATCAATTTTTATTGCTTGTGCTCATGTATCATCTATTTAGATATCCACCCTTGTTTTAGATCCTGGTTGTAAACAAGACAGAAAAGATCCCGGCTCTAATGGAGTCAAGGAGAAGATAAATGATACATATGTTTGTTTGTTTGTTTTAATGACTTTGTAGGAGAATTTTAGGAAGCATGGCGTTAGAAAATGCTTTTTAGGAAATGACTAGGATAATGGGAAGAGAGATGGTGTGGATAGCTGGCACTATTTTAGATAGAAAATAAGTGCTTATCTAAGAAGGTGGTTTTTCAAGCCATTTTCCAAGTCAGAAGACAAGTACTCCAAGCAGAGGCAATAGAATAAAATCCTGAGAAAGGAAAGAGATTGGCTGGTCTGAGAGGATAGCATGTCTATAACTCATTGATTAAAAAGGAAGGTGATTAAGGACAAAGTTGGAAAGACAGGCAGGGCCAGCTCACATGGTGCCTTTTGGGCCTTGTTAAGATTTCATGTAAATGCAGACAGAAGACATCAAGAAGAGATGAACTGAAAGAAGGAAGAGGCTTATAGGAGAGTGAAAAGATCTAGACTGCCTCTATCCAACAAAAAATAACTTGAGCTACATGTGTAATTTAAAATTTTCTAGTAGCCACACTAAGAAAGTGAACAGAAACAGGTGAAATTAAGTTTAATAATATATTTCATTAACCATACATTTCAAAAATATTTAGATATTTTACATTCTTTTTTATCATATCCAGTCTTTAAAAATTTTGTGTGCATTTTAACATGTCAGCTCAGACGAACTACATTTCAAAGGCTTAATTTCCACATGTGGCTACTGAAGGGCAGTGTGGGTCTCGCAGTTTCAGTAGAATTCACAGAAAATGTATTCATCATTCACCATACCTAAGGACTCTTGGTTCCAGAAAGTGAGCAAATGCTTAGAAAACTCTTGCCCTCAAAAGAAAGGAAGGTTTTCAGGAAAAGGAGATACAGAATGTTTCCTGTGAAGAGGTTAGAGATATACAGATTTCTGTGCCCAATAAAATGCAGATTCCAGGAGACACAGTCAAAAAGACTTCCCACTCCATCCTCACTTCATTTGATGACTTCAGGTCTTCCCTTTCTTCTGGATCACTCTCACAAATATATAAAGGATGTTATTGTTTCTCCTGTTTAAAACAAAAACCTCCTGACCACTTTCCGTTCTTTGAAAACATTTCTTTCCTTTGTTTAAAAACGAAACTCAAAAAAACTTTCCATTTTGACTATTCCCAAACTATCTCCTCTCACCCATTCTCTCTTGAATCCATTCCAGTTAGGGTTTGGCCTCTACTTTGCAGATATGCAGATGACAACACCCTTATGGCAGAAAGTGAAGAAGAACTAAATAAACAGCCACTTGATGAAAGTGAAAGAGGAGAGTGAAAAAGTTGGCTTGAAGCTCAACATTCAGAAAACTAAGGTCATGGCATCCAGTCCCATCACTTCATGGCAAATAAATGGGGAAACACTAGAAACAGTGGCTGACTTTATTTTTCTGGGCTCCAAAATCAGTGCAGATGGTGATTGCAGCCATGAAATTAAAAGATGCTTACTCCTTGGAAGGAAAGTTATGACCAACCTAGACAGTATAGTAAAAAGCATGTATGGATTGAGAATTTGACTATAAAGAAAGCTGAGCACCGAAGAATTGATGCTTTTGAACTGTGGTGTTGTAGAAGACTCTTGAGAGTCCCTTGGACTGCAAGGAGATCCAACCGGTTCATCCTACAGGAGATCAGTCCTGGGTGTTCACTGGAAGGACTGATGTTGAAGCTGAAACTCCAATACTTTGGCCACCTGATGTGAAGAGCTGACTTATTGGAAAAGTTCCTGATGCTGGGAGGGATTGAGGGCAGGAGGAGAAGGGGATGACAGAGGATGAGATGGTTGGATGGCATCACCGACTCAATGGACATGGGTTTGAGCATGCTCCAGGAACTGGTGATGGACAGGGAGGCCTGCAGTCCATGGGGTCACAAAGAGTTGGACATGACTGAGCGACTGAACTGAACTGATGGTACCCAGTATAATGTCATCATGGAGATGGCTGTCAAGCTAGAATTCTAATATATTAGTTGTTGGGACCTGTTTACAGCATATTTTAAACTTGTATAACCCGATTTCAGTTCTCAGAGTAACTTAGTGTGAACACTGGAGGTACACAGAAAATATATTATCTCATTGTACAGAAAAACAACCGAAGGAAAAAGAAAGATAAATATTTTGCTGAAGCACCCATGCCTCTAATAAAACCAGAACTCAGCTTTGCTGAGCAGTTCTCTTCCCGGTACAACTTGTGAAAATTAAAAGCAGAAAGACCGTTGCTAATACAAACCTAGCAGAAGAGGGAGGGGAGACCGCGTGTTTGACGGAGATGTCTCTGCTGAAGCAGCCAGGGAATAATCAGGCGTGGCCCAGACTGTGATGCTCACAAACGCAGAGTGTGATGCCAACACAGGCAGCAAAGGGTTTGTCTCTGTTAACCGCCTACGTGCGTGCTCAGTCACTTCAGTCGTGTCCAACTCTCTGCGACCCCATGGACCACGGCCCGCCAGGCTCCTCCGTCCATGGGATTCTCCAGGCAGGAGGTCTGGAGCGGGCTGCCATTCCCTTCTCCTCTGCCGCTCCATGTCATCCTTATCCGTGTCCCCGGAACCTGCAGACTCCACATCCCGGCGAGGCCGCCCGTGCACGCGTCCCGGGGGGGCCCCACGCGCTGCCGCCGGAAGCCGCCCTCTCGGCCACAACTGCTGCGTTGGAGCCGCGCGAGGGGGATGCGGGGCCCAGCCGAGAAGGCAGGACCGGCTCGGCCACTGCTGCCGCCGGGCTTCTGGGTCCGGAACGAAGGGCACCGCCGGCGAGATCGCGCCCCGCTGGCTCGCCGCGTGATTCAGCGAGCAGGGACCCACGGTTGGTGTAGACCATGCCGAGGCCGGGCATTCCCGACACAAGGTCTTCTTGAGTTTCCGTTTTGTACCGGTTAGTCTTATTTGCCCACCTGCGCAATTCTAGAGGGGGTTTGCTGCTGAGGAGTCACCCTGTGAGAGAATAAAGGATATGGGTAAGGACAAGATTTGAACTCAAATTTGGCTCTTTCTACTATACTTTTCTGCCTCTTTCGGTTTCAGGCTTCAGGAGGCCAGCTAAGAGAACTCAAACCTTAAGAGTTCGTTTAAATGGAAGGAAAAGTTTATTAGTGAATTTAAAGACAAAGTCTTATATTTCTGATATGGCTATAAAATAAAGAGGTTGACGGGGGAGAAAAGGTGCCAGACATTGGAGATTCGGGAGATTAGATTGTGAGAGTAGATTGCCAGGTGAGAAAAATTAGAGGACAAGGTGATTAAAAAAAAAAAAGACAATTTGATTGCAAGAAAAAAACCATCTCTTACTAGCAATAGCAAAATGAAGGTACCTGTGTACATTTATTGTATTGTATGAACAGATATGATTACATAATCTAAAGGCAAGAAGTTAACCAGGTGCCATGAGAAACTCAGCAAGACAAAAAATCCAACTTTTTTGACCCTGTAAATGTGGGGATATGGGTAATACTTAGAGGGGCTGATGGACTGGAGCAACCACCATAAACTGGTTTTTACAGTCCTGCTTGGGCTTCCGTGGTGGCTCACACTGTAAAGAGTCTGCCAGCAGTGCAGGAGATGAGGGTTCAGTCCCTGGCTCCGGAAGATCCCCTGTAGAAGGGAATGGCAGCTCACTCCAGTATTCTTGCCTGGAGAATTCCATGGACAGAGGAGCCTGGTGGGTTATAGTCCATGGGGTTGCAAAGAGTTGGACACAGCTAAGCAGCTAACACACACAGAGAGAGTCCTATTTAAGGTTGTTAAATGAACAAAAGTATTTGAGAACTAATGATTGGATTTTTCAAGATAGTGATATTGGTGGTTTGATGAAAAACATCTCTCAGGGAATTATGAAACAGTGAAAAATGAGCAGCTGTAGGATTAAATTTCCCTCAATTTTAAGCATCTTACTCAAGGACATAATTAGTATTTATTTGTCTCCGTATTTTCCTATAAAAAAGAAGCATTTATCTTCTCATTTCTCTCTTGTATCCTTAGTGAAAAATGCCACAAGATCGTGTGTGGATAAGACAGGAAGCAAGAATGTTGGGGGTAAGAACTAAAGGCTACTTAAGCAAATAAATGACTAAAATGTTGCAATTTCTTTTTTAAAATTTATTTATTTTTTAATTGAAGGATAATTGCTTTATAGAATTTTGTTGTTTTCTGTCAAACATCAGTATGAATCTAAATATAAAATAGGTATCTAAATATAAAAAGGAGAGGACTTTAACCACCTCCATTATGAACTCCCCAAATGAAAGAGAGGTAATGAAAGTGTCCTGAAATGATTATGTAATAATATCTGCATTCTCCACATGCCACCTGAAAGTATCAACTATATTAAAGTTAAATAGAGCAAAAATTATGAATCTATCAACTATATTTAAATAACGCCAAACCACTGCAACCTAGTCATACTCCCAAGAAATATACTCTGAGTCTGGAACTAGGTATAAAAATCCCTTTTTGGCATCTATAAATTATTTTGAGCTGAGCTGATGATGACAGTGGTCCCAAATGAAATGGTCAGATTGTGGGAATAATATTCAGGAAAATCTGCCGACCGTACAGCATTGTGGACAGTGATCATAATGGCACTATGTTCTTGAAATCATCCTACAGACATGGCGCTGTTATCCCAATCAACTCATCAAATCTAGCAGGTTACATCCTTTTTCATTAGCCACCCACATTTTTAAATGATGGAACCAGATTAGGAATTAAACCAACAGGATTAAAGCTTGGTCCAGTGTTTCTGACTCCTCAATTCTATTATTGTCTTCCCTTATTTAAGATTTACCTGACCTCAACAAGAATTGTACTACAGCCTTGCATAAAGCAGACAATGAACCCAAGTTTCCACTCCTCATTCCCAATTTTCTGATGTTAAGATCTAGATTCCTAACCCCCTTTTCTGCTAATCCAATATGGTTACTGAGAAGGAATAAAGTGTTTCTGAGAATATGTATGTTACTGGTCACGTTACTATCCTTCTGATGAGATCTACCATTATCTAAGAGTTTAGATCTCATTTAATTCTACTTTCCAGTTTTGGACAAGGTGAAGTAGATAGACTTTTGTCTATTCCTGCCACTAGTTACAGCTAAAACTTTGGACAAAGAAGACAAAGATTTTCAGAAGGCAGAAGAGCTAGGGACCTTGAAATCCAAAGAATGACATGGTGGTGTGTTTCCTGGGGCATTTTATTTGTTTGTTTTTCTTCACATCTCCAGAACTGAGTGCTCAAGAAGCCTGTAACCCAAAAACACCATTAAGCACAGACAAAAAAAAAAAAACAAGGAAAGCCTATTTTCTCAGCCACGTTGTTGTTCAGTTGCTAAGCTGGGTCTGACTGTTTGCAACCCCATGGACTGCAGCACGCCAGGCTCGACTGTCCTCCTCTATCTCCCGGAGTTTGCTCAGATTATGTCCATTGAGTCAGTGATGCCATCTAATCATCTCATCCTCTGCTGCTCCCTTCTCCTTTTGCCTTCAGTCTTTCCCAGCATCAGGGTCTTTTCTAGTGAGTCATGTCTTCACATCAGGTGGCCAAAATATTGGACCTTCAACTTCAGCATCAGTCCTTCCAATGAATATTCAGGGGTGATTTCCTTTAAGATTGAATGGTTTGATCTCCTTGCAGTCCAAGGGACTCTCAAGAGTCTTCTCCAACACCACAGTTCAAAAGCATCAATTCTTCAGTGCTCAGTCTTCTTTATGGTCCAACTCCCATCTGTACATGACTACTATAAAAACTATAACTTTGATTGTATGGACCTTTATTTGCAAAGTGGTGTCCACGGTACAACTGAAAATTACTCATCCAAAAAATAACCAGGAAAATCTCAACCTGCATGAGAAAAGACAATGAATAGATGCCCACACCAGAATTACACTGTTATTAGAATTATCTGATAAGAATTTTTAAGTGGCTGTTAGAAAAATGTAACAACAAGCAATTATGAGCATACTGAAAACAAGTTTATAGATAAAAATTCAAAGAAAAGAAATAGAAGAAATAGAGAAAACCAAATGGAAATTTTATAACTGAAAAATGCAATAACTGGAAAAAATTCACTGGATGAGTTCAATGAGGGTATGGACAGGATAGAGAAAAGAATCAGTAAACTTTTAAGTATAACAATAAAAATTATTCCGTGTGAGAGGAGAGCCAGATGGCAGAGCAGAAGCACATGCAGCTCTTGGCCCCCAACAACCACATCAAAAATACATCTATGTGTGGAGCACTTCTCACTGAAAGCAAACTGAAACTGGCAGAAAAACTCTTATAGAGCCAAGGCTATAGGAAGAACCACACAAAGTCAGGTTTGAAGGGAGGAGAAGAGGTCAGGTCAGGATCCATATCTCTAGGAGGCCAACACAGAGAGAGGGGATCACACAGGCTCAGAGATCCTCTCTGAGAAATGAACAACTGAAACCACATATGGGGCACTCCAAACCAGGAGCCCAACACAGGGAGGGCAGGTTTCCTTAACATGTTTGAAAACTAGCTCGGGACTGGCAGTAGCTATGAAAAACCTCTGCTCGTAAAGGTGTTCACGCGCTTACCTAATCACAAAACAAACAGACCAAGCAGACAGAAGCTGCCTGGAACCCTGACTGGCATCCCAGAACTACCCCAGTGTACATACTGATCTAAGCCAAGCACCTCACTCTGACCCCTATTGCACTGCTCCGGGCTGGGGCAAAGGCCGCTGCTGCCAAGGAGAGCGCACAGTTGTGGGAGGATCACACCCAGGGATGAAGTAGGATGTACTCCAGGGAGGCAAGGATGGTTCAATATCTGCAAATCAACCAATATGATACACCACAATTTTAAAAAGGATAAAAATCACATGATCAATTCAATATACATAGAAGAAGCATTTAACAACATTTAACACCCATTCATGATTAAAAAAAGAATTATCAAAATGGGTATAAAGGGAACATAACTGAACATAGTAAGAGCCATTTTTTACAAACCCACAGCTAACATCATACGTGATGGTGAAGAGCTAAAAGCTTATCCTCTAAAATCAGGAATAAGACGAAGATGTCCATTTTTACCACTTCTATTTAACATGGTATTAGCCACAGAAATCAGTCAAGAAAAAGAAAGAAAATGCACTCAAGTTGGAAAGGAAGAAGTAAATCTGTCACTATTTGCAGATGACATGATGCTGTATAGAGAAAACACTAAATCTGCTCCCAAAAACTATTAAAAATACTAAATGGTTTCAGTAAAATTGCAGGATATGAGATTAATATACAGAAATCTAATTCTTTTTTTTGTGTTAATAATGAACTATCAAAAAAAGAAAGGAGGAAAATTACATCAAAAAGAATATCTAGGAATAAACTTAACCAAGAAGGTAAAAGACCTATACTCTGAAAACTATAAAATGCTGATAAAAGAAATTGAAAATGATACTGAGAAATGGAGAGATATAAAATGCTCTTGAATTTGTAATTTAAAAACTCCTAAAAAAGAGATTGCCAGGTGTCTATATTTCACCAAAGAATTCTGCCAAATACTTTAAGAATGCTTAACACCAGTTCTTCATAATCTTTTTCAGAAAACAGGAGAGGAGGGAACATTTCTTGAATTACTTGAATAGGCCAATATTACTCTGATGCTATAACCAAAGACAGTACACAAGAAGAAGCCCATAGTTTTATTTGTAATAGCCCTCAATGTCGAAATTATCAAAGTGGAAATCACCTCAATAGGTGAATAACTGAATAAACTATAGTCATCCATATCATGGATGAAAGAAAATGCATTGAGACCCACACCGACTAAGATGGATTTCAAGGGCATTGAGCTAAATGAAAAAAGTCAGTCTTAAAAGTTACATGCTGAATTATTCAATTTATATAACATTCTCAGAATGACACAAGTGTAGAGATGGAAAACACACTAGTGACTTCCAGACATTAAGGAAGTTGGAAGGAGAGTGATTATAGAGGTGTGGGATGAAGGATACCTTTGTAGTAATTTAGAAGTTCTCTTTCTTGAGTATGGTGGTGGGAGACAGAACGAATGGCACAGAACTACAAGCACACACAATACCAAGCTCCATCTCCGCATCCTGGTGCTGTAATACGGTTACGCGGCCGCTGGGAGCGCCCCGGTTCAGGGCACAGGGCCTCTCTGTAATATTTTTGCAATCTATAATTATTTGGATATGAAAGTTGGTTTTTTTTTTTTTATCCTTCGATCTTCTAAACTCAGACTTAAGAAAACGTCAGTGTATTCCAGCTTTAGCAAGGAGCTAAAACTCTGTGCCGCTGCAGCAGAGGGCAAAGTCCTGTCGAATGCAGTGTCCCCTTCCCTCTTGCTTCCACTGCAGCCTGCCGGAAGTGCTGCTAAATGCATAGTTTCGAGTTGCGCCTGAGTACTCTCCAGGAGAGGGGAGTATCGCACCAACTAGCCGCTTTTTAGCTCTGCTCATCATCACATAACCAGAACAGAAGCCTACTGCAGACTTCAAGCTGAAGTTATCCTGCTTAAGAGGATATGTTTTTTTGAGGAAAAGGATATCAGTTTACCCAGACATTCTGGAAGTATGAGTTGCACAGACTTTGCTGGCTATCTAGCATTTGAGCCTCTCTGTATCTCCACGCAGATTCGATCCCTGGTTGGAGAACTAAGATCCTTTGTGCCACACAGGTGTGCCCCCCCCCCAAAAAAAGAAATTAAATTATTTTAAAAGTATGAGATATAGTAAGGCAAGAGATTTTCTGTTTTGAATGCCAGTATAACTCCTTTAGTTTTTTTAGTTTTTTTTTTAAAGCTGAATTCCTATGTTTGGTGGATGCCCAGGAGCAGGGAGGGGGTGCCTTATTCAACCATGGCAGAAGCAGGCATGGCTGAGAAACATCTGTTTGAAAACCAGCTGCAAGGCCCTACAGTGAGGTGTTAGGGGGCTCTGCACAGCAAGCTTAGAATTGTCCTTCTCCTGTGGCTCTGAGGCTGCCGTACTTAGCCTGACTTCAGTGGACAGAAATCATCCACAATCCCCACACCAGGTGGTAGGCCCCCGGAAGAGCTATAGAAAACCAGGTGACTCAAGGGCTCACTCTCTTTCTTTAGCCCTTATTTATACAGGACCCAGGACTCTGATATAAACCACTGTCACACGTGGCATGACGGGTGGGCAAAACAGGAGTCAAAGTCCCAAGTCCCAGTTTGGGACCGTGAGCGAAAGGCAGGGCTAGTGGCCTGCAAAACCGACCGTCGCTGACCACGTGCGGGGATGGAGGCATATTGAGATCAGCGTGTTCAGGGCTCCGAGGTTCGTGCCCTGCGTCTCTCGAATGCAGCAGATAAACAGGCTTCTAGTACAGTTTTATCGGACATGTATATAGCCACTGTAACTGCACACTGCTCTGAAATATTAACAAACCCTCCTCATCTGAATGACACGTTGAAAACCCTAAAATTATGTTAGGTTGCCACATTCCCTCTCTACCTCGGCGTTCTCTTGATGTGTGTCCCTTTCAAAGCTTGGACTGGAATAGAAGTAAGTAATTAATGCTGTTCTTTTCTCTCAGGCCGTGCAAATAATGACTGGTCTGTTTGTTCACTCCCTGGGACTGCTCTGGATGTATTTGTTTGTCTCACAAATTATAGCATTTCAAAGAGTATATATTCCTGTTGCAGTACTGTCAGGATTCCCGTTTTGGGCAGCTGGTTTTGTGAGTAAATAATCTACTCCTTTATTGTTCTTTGTTAATTTATTCATTTGATGATTGTTTCTGAGCTATGTCGCATACCAGAGACAGTATGCTACACTAAAAATGCACAATCACTGTTTTCAAGGAATTTATTCTTATATCTAGTTGAAAGGCATATACCAATATAGAAAAAAAGACTTAGATCATACCAGTGAAATTCTTCTGCAATAAGAGTCTGTTTTGTTAAAGATCCGCCTTTCACATGCTCTTCGATAGGGGGACATAGTGGTAAGATGCATGAGGGACATTTTGGGAAAACAGGAAATGGTAGCAATTGTTCCACTGCTCACGGGGCATTTATTTTTTCCAGTGGGGCAAACAAGACGTGAGAACATTATTGCCATGGAAATAGTGGAATATATAGAATTTGTACAGGGAAATAAAAATGAAATCTTTCGTTTTGCTGTCCAAGAAGCATTTGGTAGAATTGAACGGAAGTTTCTAAAGTAAATTTTATTATGTCTGATGGTATGGTGAGTGATATGCTATTATCCCCACAAAATGCTGAGTGATAATAGTAATACATTTGAAATTTGGTCACTCAATCAATACATCCTAATACTATGTATCAGGTATCTGTTCTAGGTGTATGAAATACATCAGTAAACAAAGCAAAGATCCCAGCCCTTTCACAGCTTTATTCTACCCAGGAGTCGAATGTTAGAAGATAATGGAGCTATAGAAGGAAGGAAAGAAAATGTTGGGTAGGGTGAGACAAAACGTTCATCAGGTCTTATGGAAAACCCAAGTGAACTTTCTAGCCAACCCACTATAATAATCGATTATCAACAATAACTTTTTCAGTGAGGCCTACCTGAGCCATTCAGTTTGAAACAATAACCCATTTCCCTTTGGTACCGGCAATTCCATTTTGTCTCACCCTACCCAGCTTCTTTCTTTCTTTTTACTTCCATAATTTTACTCACTTCACTTTTCACTTTCACACCCAGGTCAGACAAAAAAATTCCAGCACCTTAGAAATTCCTCTCATGTCCCTTCCGATCAATAACCTCTCCCTCCTTATCTTAACCATTAGCCTGACTTCTAATATTGTACATTACTCTTACTTGCTTTTAAACTTTATGAAAGTAGAATCAGACAGTATGTATTATTTTGTATTTGGCTGCTTTGCTCAACTTAGGATTGTGAGATCCATCCTTGTTATTGATATAGCTGTAGTTCATTCATTATTATTGCTGATTAATATTTCATTGTATTCATCTACTCTAGTTTATATAAGCTAATGAATGGGCATTTAGGTCGCTTCCAGTTTGAAGTATTACAGAACTTCCAGTGTGGGCTATTAGTAACTTTCTTGTACATGCCTCTAGCTGCACATGTGGAGCTATCACTTTTAGGTATATATACAAAAGCAAAGTTGCAACATCTTAGGTTTGCACACATACTCAGCTTTAGTATTTAATGCTAAACTTCTCCCAGGTAGTTTTACCGATTTGCGTCCTTTTTAGGAGGCAGTAAATTGTTGTCATTCTGTATCCTCTGCGGGCTTCCTCATAGAGTCTCAGGGCTTCCCTCCATGACTCCATGCTAAAGAATCCACCTGCAATGTAGGAGACGCCGGAGATGTGGGTTTGGTCCCTGGGTCAGGAAGATCCCCTGGAGGAGGAAGTGGCAACCCACTCCAGTGTCCTTGCCTGGAACTCTCCGTGGACAAAGGCACCTGGCAGGCTGCAGCCCATGGGGTCACACTGAGTGGATGCGACTGAGCTCCGGAGCTCACAAGCGTGCATGCCCTCCGAGGTGCTTGGAATTGCCAGGTTTCCTCATGTTGCCCATTCTGGTTAGTGCTTCTGAACTTGGAGTCTTAGCTTGCCTTGCTAACTAACGAGGTAGAGAAGTTTTTTGTTTATTGTCTATTTTGACATCCTCTTTTAAAAGCACCTATACAAGTTTCTTCACATTTTTTAATTGGGTTTTCTCTCTGTCTTGTACTTATTTGCTGTAATTCTTTATATATTCTGTGCACAAACTCTGTATCAGTTTATGCATTCTAATTGTCATTTCCACTCTGTGGCTTATGGATGTCTTTCAATTTAATAATTTATTAATTTCAGTGCTACCCACTATGATAATTTTCCCTCTTTAGGTAGTACTTTTTATACCTAATTTAATAAATTTTTTCTGCTTTTAGAGTTGGAAGCTATTTTTATATTATGTACTAGAATCTAAACTGTTTTACCTTTTTACATTTGGATTTCCAGTGTACCTTGAATTTATTTTTATGATATACCTTAGGGATCAAATTTTATTTTTATAGAATATGAATTTTCAAAAGTGTCATTTATTGGGAAGAAGATTCTTTTGCTTCTATAAATCAAATGTCCACATAGGGTTGAATCCATTTCTGAACCTATTTTTCTATAATTGTGATGATATCACAGTGTCTTCACTACAGTGTCTTTAAATAAATTTTAATATCAGTACAGGTGGTCATGTTCTTCTTCCAGATTAACTTGGCTATCCTTGTATCACCTTACCATATAAATTTTGGAGTCAGTTTGTAATTTACACAGACACCAAATAAACCTGAAGGGCTCGTGATTGGTATTTCACAGGTGGCTATGTTCCATGGTCTCTACAATCTGGGAACTAGCTGAAGATGAACTCTGAAGAGTGAATCAGAAGACATGGAATCTATTGAAAGTGCTTTTCACTTGTTTGTCTGACTTCATTTTTAAAATGAATTACACTGTTTAAGTTACATTTTCACTCATTCAGTAAAGAAACATACTGGACAGCCACTATCTGTAAGAACTATTCTAGGGACTTGAATAAAACAATGAATAAGATACACACCTAAGTTGAAGTAAGATAAAAAGTACCTCTACTTTCATAGATGAAAAGTGAAAATGACAGTTGCTCAGTAGTGTCCGACTCTTTGAGACCACATGGACTGTATACAGCCCACGGAATTCTCCAGGCCAAAATACTGGAGTGGATAGCCTTTCCCTTCTCCAGGAGATCTTCCCAACTCAGGGATTGAACCCAGATCTCTCGCATTGCAGGAGGATTCTTTACCAGCTGAGCCACAAGGGAAGCCCAAGAATACTGGAGTGGGTAGCCTGTCCCTTCTCCAGCGGGTCTTCCCCACCCAGGAATTAAACAGGGGTCTCCTGCATCGCAGGCAGACTCTTTACCAACTTAGCTATCAAGGATACCACCTTAATGGCAGAAAGTGAAAAGGAACTAAAAAGCCTCTTGAGAATGATGAAAGAGGAGAGTGAAAAAGCTGGCTTGAAACTCAACATTCAAAATACTAAGATCATGGCATCTAGTCCCATCTCTTCATGGCAAATAGATGGGGGAAAAGTGGAAACAGTGGCAGATTTTATTTTCCTGGGCTCCAAAATCACTGTGGATGATGACTGAAGCCATGAAATTAAAAGATGCTTGCCCCTTGAAAAGACAGCTCTGACAAACCTAGACAACATACTAAAAAGCAGAGATATCACTTTGCTGACAAAAGTCCATATATGTTATGGACAAAGGTCCATAACTCAAAGCTATGGTTTTTCCAGTGGTCATTTATGGATGTGAGAGTTGGACCGTAAAGAAGGCAGAGCACCAAAGAATTGATGCTTTCGAACTGTGGTGCTGGAGAAGACTCTTTTGAGAGTTCCTTGGACTGCAAGGAGATCCAACCAGTCCATCCTAGAGGAAATCAACCCTGAATATTCCCTGGAAGGACTGATGCTGAAGCTGAAACTCCAATACTTTGGCCACCTGATGTGAAGAGATGACTCATTGGAAAAGACCCTGATGCTGGGAAAGATTGAAGGCGGAAAGAGAAGGAGATGACAGAGGATGAGATGGTTGGATGGCATCACCGACTCGATGGACATGAGTTTGAGCAATCTCTGGGAGACAGTGAGGGACAGGGGAGCCTGGTGTGCTGTATTTCATGGGGTCACAAAGAGTTGGTCACAACTTAGCAAAAAACCAACAACAACAACACTTTCATAGATCTCACTCTCTCAGTTAAGGAGACAAAGGTTAACAAGAAAGCAATTATTTTAAAATCTCTAAATGTTAGTGTTAGAAAGAAAATAAACAGCATACTTTCTGCAAGGTAACAGTTGATCTTAGAGAAATCTTATAGGAGTGATAATCCTCTTTATGTTCAGGCATACTGGTCTTTGTTCTATTCCTTAAACCAGTAAAGATTTCTCCTCTGTAAGTGTTTTTATCTCCTCTCCCTGGAAAACTCCTCTAGTCTTCAAGACTTCAGGTTACTCTTATCTCAGCTTTGATGTCTCTCTTTCAAGAGACCTTCTTAGGCCCATCTACTTAAGGTGTCCCCCAACTATTCTCCCACATATCACTAGTCCTTACGTGACAAATATACTAACAGAGGAAACAGAAATGCCATAAATCAATTTGAGTCCCATATAATCAAGGTTTCCCTGTTGCCATACCGTATCCCATTAACTGGTCTGCATGCCATAAGCCCTCCTTCAGAGCCCCACTAAACTGGGAATCAACACCTTTGGAGCAGTTGATTATCTACCTGTAAATCAGTTGGCATTCACTATTGCTTATATACCCTTTTGATGCCTTAATTTCTCATTGATCAGAAATAGAGTTACAAGAGAGAATGAGCATACATGCTTCAGTCCTTCAGAAGAAGCCTCGGAAACATGTGATAAATAGCTACAATAATTTCCTTTGTGAGTTTGATTTTGCCGGAGATTAAAAAAGAAAACACTGCTCTAGTGGTTGCTTTCTTTTTTGATGACTTTGTTGCATGTTTTGATTTTCTGGGAGACACTTTGGAATGAGCACCTCAAATGGAGGAAGCCCAGGATGCTGAGAAGAGAGTGTTCTCTTGCTGTGTGTAGGATGGCTAAGATGAGTCACTGGAAGACAAAGGTAGCACCCATTTCAAAGTACTAGAAGGAATCCTGAGGAAGGTATGTGGACATAGAAACGTAGCAGAAAGAAATAAAAATTAAGACTATCTACCGTTTGTCCAAATGTGGGGGCTCATTATAAGGTACTTATTTCAGTGCAGGGTTCTGTAAAGAAAAACGGGCTACCATAATATTTATGGGAATCTAGAAACTGGAATAAGAATTGAAGCCTTTGTAAGTGTGGGAGTTCCTGCAGACAAGATGTGCAAACAGAGGTTAGAGGATCACAGAAGATCACTGATTGCTCCTGCCTAAGGCTCCGCTGGTGGCTCAGACAGTGAAGACTCTGCCTGCAGTGCGGAAGACCTGGGCTTGATCCCTGGTCAAGAAGATCCCCTGGAGAAGGAAATGGCAACCCATTCCAGTATTCTTGCCTGGAGAATTCCATGCACAGAGGAGCCTGGTGGGCTATAGTCCACGGGATCACAGAGTCAGACACAACTGAGCAACTAACACTCACTTTCACAAGGCACCAGCACGAATGGACAAGTTGAAAGTGAAAGGCGCTCAGTCGTGTCCGACTCTTTGCAACCCCATGGACTGTATAGTCCATGGAATTCAGCAGGCCAGAATATTGGAGTGGGTAGCCATTCCCTTCTCCACAGGATCTTCCCAGCCCAGGGACTGAACCCAGATCTCCCGCATTGCAGGCGAATTCTCTACCATCTGAACCACCAGGGAAGCCTAAGAATACTGGAGTGGGCAGCCTCTCCCTTCTCCCGCGGATCTTCCCCACCCAGGAATCCAGCCAGGGTCTCTTGCATTGCAGGCAGAGTGTATGTAGTTAAATCTTTAAGCTCTGGATTCTAGGCCACCAGAATGGGGTTGCAAAGGGAAGATCAGGAATCGATCTAGAAATTGCTTTCTCTGGAAGATAACATGAAAATATACAGAGGAGAGGGAGAAAAAAGAGGCCATGGCTGCCATGTCTGATCACTATGATCTTCTGAGAGTTACAGTTTCTGCTTCCCTTCTACCTTCCAAATATTGCTTGAGATTTTCTCTTACACTATTGTAACTGAAAATAACAGAAATTAATTCTAGAAAATGTAGTTCTGAGTCATAGGTGAAAACTGTAGGACCAAGTTGACTACAAATAATTCAGCAAATTACTTCATATATAACTGTTACAATAACCACTTAGTAACACAAGTTAGAAAATATTATTCTCACTTAACCAATGAAAAAGGAAAAACTTAATGACAAGCCACATAATTTCTCTTGAGTGTCATAGAAAGCACAGTTCAGAGAATTCAAACTCATGTCCTTCTGACCCCAAAATGCTCTTCAGTGCTGACATGTTGGGCTTCCCAGGTGACTCACTGGTGGGGAATCCAGCTGCCAGTGCGGAAGACACAGGAGATGTGTATTTGATGCCTGGGGCAGGAAGATCCCATGGAGCGGGAGCTGGCAACCCCCTCCAGTATTCTTGCTGGAGAATTCCGTGGACAGAGGAGCCAGGCAGACTAGAGTCCGTGGTCAGACCCGACTGAGTAACTGAGTGCACGTGCATGCACTGGCTTGTTAGTGGTGCCATTTTCGGGAGACAGAATATTCCTTTTCCTTCACTACTAACTGAACAGTTATTCTTTCAATGCTGTTAAAGTTTCCATGCATACATTAAAGTTGCACCAGTGGAAAAAATAAATTTCTGATGCACCATAACTGCCATCTTTCTAACAAGTTTTAGGATTGATGGGAGGTCACAGAACAAGCTACTCATTGAAGACATTATGTAATTCTTACATTTAAGTATATATAATGAATCAAATACTTTCTAAATGTGATGTTTTCTATTAATAAAATATTTCAGCATTATATTTAAAGTACTTGCATGTGATATCACTAAGGTATAGCATTTTTAGTAGTAAGTTCATCAACTAGATGCATTTTCTTGTAATTCACCTCATGGGCTCAATAAACTGTGATTGAAAAAAAATCCAAGTAAAATTTGACAGTCTTTTAACACATGAAGTCAGCTCAAGGGGTCCATGATTTTCTCAATGGTCCCACAAAAGAGTGAATATGATGCTGTTCATGTTATGGCATTCCAGAGTTCTCTTTTTAAGTTGATTACATGGAGATGCAATGACAAGGTATTAATAAATGTGATTTTTGTTTCCAGTTTTTGCTGTCAGGAATCTTTACAGTATTGTTTGAGAGGAAGCGTTCAAGGTCTTTGGTAAGTCAGAATGTTTGTAGCAACTCTAAAGACGATTTTACTTGACAAGATGAGAGTCCATAAGGAAGTAGTGTTGTCTCTGAATCGCTGGAAACCCACCCAAATTTTTGGAGGATAGATTAAGGTATAAGAACTTTAATTTTCTACTGAATCTTTATCAGAATGAAAAGGATATACTCCAATTACTGAAATCTTTGTTACATTTCATTAGCCATAAAAATAATTCAAGATGTATGAAGTTAATCATGGAATTAAATTTCTATTATGATAAATCATTTAATGTAAACTAAAATGTTGCTTATCACACTTGAATTTTGACTTCTTGAAATGACCCAGTGTCTGTTATTACCTGTTCCTTTCTTCTTTTTCATATTTCTAGGAACGTTTGATTGTATGATGGAAAATATGTTTGAGATATTGTAAATAGTCTGGAATATGTTTATTTTATTTAGTGTCTAGTTTTATGTTGACGGGTAGGAAGACGGAAAGATAAGAAATTGGAGTAACTATAAATATTAGTGCTGGCAGGCTGACTTCTGGGATGGCAGCACAAGCAACTCTATGATGTCATTCTTCCATTCTGCCCTTATATATAATGAATCAAATACTTTCTAAATGTGATGTTTTCTATTAATAAAATATTTCAGCATTATATTTAAAGTACTTGCATGTGATATCACTAAGGTATAGCATTTTTAGTAGTAAGTTCATCAACTAGATGCATTTTCTTGTAATTCACCTCATGGGCTCAATAAACTGTGATTGAAAAAAAATCCAAGTAAAATTTGACAGTCTTTTAACACATGAAGTCAGCTCAAGGGGTCCATGATTTTCTCAATGGTCCCACAAAAGAGTGAATATGATGCTGTTCATGTTATGGCATTCCAGAGTTCTCTTTTTAAGTTGATTACATGGAGATGCAATGACAAGGTATTAATAAATGTGATTTTTGTTTCCAGTTTTTGCTGTCAGGAATCTTTACAGTATTGTTTGAGAGGAAGCGTTCAAGGTCTTTGGTAAGTCAGAATGTTTGTAGCAACTCTAAAGACGATTTTACTTGACAAGATGAGAGTCCATAAGGAAGTAGCGTTGTCTCTGAATCGCTGGAAACCCACCCAAATTTTTGGAGGATAGATTAAGGTATAAGAACTTTAATTTTCTACTGAATCTTTATCAGAATGAAAAGGATATACTCCAATTACTGAAATCTTTGTTACATTTCATTAGCCATAAAAATAATTCAAGATGTATGAAGTTAATCATGGAATTAAATTTCTATTATGATAAATCATTTAATGTAAACTAAAATGTTGCTTATCACACTTGAATTTTGACTTCTTGAAATGACCCAGTGTCTGTTATTACCTGTTCCTTTCTTCTTTTTCATATTTCTAGGAACGTTTGATTGTATGATGGAAAATATGTTTGAGATATTGTAAATAGTCTGGAATATGTTTATTTTATTTAGTGTCTAGTTTTATGTTGACGGGTAGGAAGACGGAAAGATAAGAAATTGGAGTAACTATAAATATTAGTGCTGGCAGGCTGACTTCTGGGATGGCAGCACAAGCAACTCTACGATGTCATTCTTCCATTCTGCCCACCCCCCACCTCCACCCACCCAGTCACAGGCTGTGGTCTGAACCACGGCTCAGCTTTCACCCTCCCACCTGGAACCACATGCCTCCAAGTTAAGGTCCCTGAGTCTCCCCCAAAACAAGGAAAATGTCAACAAAAAAAAGAAAAAAAAGACTCTAAAATTCATAGTTTGAAAGTGCATGCATGTGCCTGCAAAGTCACTTCAGTCGTGTCCAGCTCTCTGGGACCCCATGGACTGAGCCTACCTCGCTCCTCCGTCCGTGGGACTCTCCTGCAAGAATCCTGGAGTGGGTGCCGTGCCCTCCTCCAGGGGCTCTTCCCAATCCAGGGATCAAACCCGCGTCTCATATCTCCTGCATTGGCAGGCGGGTTCTTTACCACCAGCGCCACCTGGGGTGGACATTAACCAAACTCAAAGTAACAACTGAAAATTGTCTATCCAGGTGACACTGTTGAGTGTGAAGAAACAGAGATCTGAGGTGTTTTAACCTGGAGATACTCCCACTTCCACCTCAATCCCCAGCTCATTGCACAGTAGCCGGGAAAAGCCTAGTCCTGCAGCCAGCTGAGAGGACGGACATCCTCTGATGCTCTCTTAAAATCATCGTTCTCTGGGCACAGTTGATATTTTCTTAAGTTACAACATTCTGAAAAATCTCTGTCCTCAGGCTATTGTGGCTATTTGTGTAAATACAAAGTGAAAACAAAGTCCTATCACCAGGAAAGTATTGAAATAATATCAGTGTACTGACTACAGTGCAGTTGCATAAAGCTGTGAGTTCAGTTGCAATGAACCAAAGCTTGGTCAGAAATTTCAAAGAAAATATTTGATAACTAGAAAACCACAGGGAGCTTTGAGAAGCCACAGCATATTCTTAGCAATCAAAAATACTGTATACATGTGGAAGACTATGCATGTCTAAGAGGAAAAACTTGGGAAAGGAGAAATACCTATTCTGGCTGGCTCTGAAACCCTGGGCAAGCAAAAAGTGGAATCTAAGACTGTGTTCTAAACTTATTGAAATTTTAAAGGGTGTATTTTCACACAGGTTCCCCTTGGTAAAGGCACTAAATTATACTGACCCAGGAGTAATCCCTAGGAAGTCAGTCTGTTTTGTTTTGTTCTGCAGTATAGTTGATTTACAATGTTGTGTTAATTTCAGGTATGCAGTAAAGTGAATCAATTATACATATACATGTAAGGATTTTTAAAAGGAACTTCTTCAAAAAATAGAGAATTCAGAGACCCCAAGTCAAAACTTTAGGAAATGAATTTAGGAAAGTCACTAAACAAATAAGCAAGAACAAGAAAGCAACAACCAAAAATACAGCAAAAATAATGAATTCTGGATGAGAAAGGAAGAATCTAATGCCAAATTTGTTACAGTATATGATGTTAAATGTCTATTTAAAATAGAAAGCATGCGAAGACTCTGAAATATATTTCACATATTCAAGGGGAAAAAGCACCCAGCAGACAGTGTCCCTAATGAGCCACAGACTTCGGGCCTTACAGTCAGTGACGTCAGATCAGCTGTTAAAGACACGTTCAAAGAGCTAAAGAAAACGATGTTAAAGAAGCAAAAGAAAGGGTAAAAGTGATGTCTCACCAATAGATATCGGTAATGAGAAACTGTTTTAAAAAACAGATACTCTAATTGAAAAGGGCAAGCACTAAATAAATGAAGAATTCACTAGAGGAAATAAAGAACAGACTAGAGCTGGCAGAAAAAAGAACCAGAAAACTTGAAGATAGGTCAGTAGAGATTATTTAATAAGAGGGGCATAAAGATGGAAAATGAAGAAAAATGGACATGAACTCAGAAAACCATCAGATGCCATCAACCACGTGTGTGCTCAGTTGCTCTGTCATGTCCAGCTCTTTGTGACTTCATGGACTGTATCCACCAGCTCCTCTGTCCATAGAATTCTCCTAGCAAGAATATTGAGGTGGGTTGCCATTTCCTACTCCAGGGGATCTTCCCAACCCAGGAATCAAACCCTCATCTCTTGCATTGGCAAGTGAATTCTTTACCACTGAGACACCTGGGAAGCTCACTATCAAGCATACGAACGTATGTGTATAATAGAGATTCTCCCAAAGAGAAGAGAAAGTAAAAGGGACAGAAAGCATATTTGAAGAAATACTGGCAAAAAATTTTCCAACTTGATGAAAAAAAACTAAATGTTAAAGATGATCAATAGACTCCAAGTGGAATAAGCTTGAAAAAATCCACATATAGACTTACCAAAATTGAACTGATGAAACTCAAGAATAAAGAGAAAAATCTCAAAAGCAGCATTATAGCTGGCTTTATCAGAAATCATAGAAAGTTGAGGTAGTAGGATGACATTTTCAATGTTTGGGGGAGTGGGGGAAATGTCAAAAAATCTTTATCCAGGCAAACTATCCTTCCAAAATAAAGGAGACAGTAGCTTCCTACCACCACTTCTTCTCCTTTCATCTCTTCCTTTTTCAATCTTTTCACTGACATTCAGGGGGATGCTCACCATAATTTGGGGGGGGGGCGGTTAACATGAGTCTGCATCATAGAAAGGAGACCTTGAAGATTCCTGAGCACTTGCAGGATGATGGCACTTCTGAGTTGCTTGCCTTTAGGTGAGAGCTTCTGACCTTTCATAAAGATCCCCAGGCCTTTCCACTGCCTTCCTTCTGGATGCTGTCACTGAAAGATGAATCTGGGACCACTTCGGAGGACTGACTTTTGGAACCTCTGACCCTCCCTGCCTCCTCTTTGTTTTCTGAAGTCTCCAACGTATGAATGTGAAATTGAGAGAGGTCATCTTCCTGGAGACAATTTACACATGCAAAGAATATTGTGGATCAATAATATTAGACAAGATAAGAGTTTGTTGCAACTTTTTGCTGGTCTCTGGCACCACAGGCGCTTCACACATACACCTCAGTTGTGGCCACTGTACCCAAAGCTGTCTTGAGTGAGTATCCATCATGATGCCAAGACCTGGCTCCACCCAACTGTCTTCAGGCTCCAGTGCTGGACACCTCACACCAAACAGTAAGACAGGAACATAGCCCTGCCTGTCAGCAGACAGGCTGCCTAAAGCCGTACGAAGCTCACAGACACCTCAAAACACACAGCTGTTGTGGCCCTGCCTATCAGAGGGAAAAGACTCAGCACCACCCACCAGACTGCAGACACCAGTCCTTCCCACTCGGAAGACTACACAAGCTCCTGGACCAATCTTACCCAAGAGGGAACAGACAACAGAAGCAAGGGGAACTGTGACCACAGACAGTAATTCAGATAAAAATGAGAGGACAGAGAAATATGTTGCAGATGGAGTTGCAAGGTAAAAACCCACAAGAGCAAATAAATGAAGAGGAAATAGGCAATCTACCTGAAAAAGAATTCAGAGTA